TTGTGAACAATATAGAGAGAGAAATAGGTCTTTTGTGTACATAGAGAAAGTCTTAGATCTTTGAGTTCAGCTCATGATGAATGGGGGCAAAAACAAAAGTGTTGCGTTTATAATTTTGTTCAGTGTATATCCCTATCAGCCACAGCTGTACTGGGTACAAATTAGCAAATGTTAGCATGCTAACACGCTAAACTAAGGTGTGAAATATCACTATTATATCAGTTTCTGCAAAGTAAAGTACTCCTGTGCCTACAGCCTCACAGAGCTGCTGGCATGGCTGCAAAGCCAGCAAATAACAGTATTCCCAAAATGTTGAACAAAATCAAAGGATTTCCTAAAGAGAGACAGGATAGCTGGATGACATGGCATTGAAGTTTATATAGACCACTTATTTCATCACTCTGAAGTTAGCAGGTGGCTGAAATAATCATCACATCCAAAAGCATACAGTTATTCTGAAGTCTGTAATGACAATTTCACTGTTATTCTGTTGATAAAGCCCATGTATGAAGGTCAAATAAGAGTAATGCACCCACATTTATGCTCTCATTTGGATTCAAATAAGCAAAGGAGACTTCATCCACATCCTCAGGCTGTGTTTCTCTCACTAAGATACCCGTAACTCCTTCTCCCAGGTTCAGTTCAGCTGAAGACACGTTGAGGGCAGCGACAAGGTTGGACATGCTGCTCATGACTTTACTGTTGGCAGATGGAAGAATATTAATACCTTATATATATATATATATAAAATTAAGGCCAAAATCTGAATATATATACATTAGCCTACAGTTGTAAACATTTCCCCTGTTAATAACTTCAATATGTAAGAAAACCAAAACCAGTCTAATGGTATAGGTCCAGTGTGTAGGATTTAGTGGCATCAAATGGTGTAGTTTCAGATTGCAACTCCCTTGCTTCACCCTCTCCTTCCAAGCACAAAGGAGAAACTACTACTACTACTACACCCCTGTCTAGTGCCAGTGTTTGGTTTGTCCATTCTGGGCTACTGTAGAAACATGGTGTAGCATTTTCAGATATAAAAGGTTCATTCTAAGTTAACAAAAACATAATGATTTTTATGCATATTAAATTCCATTTCTGCCAATAGATCTTCCTAAATGTTAAACACTGGAACTTTTAGTATGTAGCTGGAGCGTGGTGGTTATTAGCTTAGCATAAGGCACTGTGCAAAGTTGAAAAATCTGCCTGTTAGCATCTCTGAAGTTCATAAATGAACACATTCTAGCTTAATCTGTACATAAAATGTCACTATTTCTTGTTGAAAATCATGAGATTTCTGGGCATTTCTGTTTTAGTATGGATCAAATAAAAGAGATACAACATGTTAATTGGCAAGTGTTAGAGGGGTTGAATGACAGATTTTCTAACTTTGGACAAAACATCGCTAGTTGTTTCCAATCTTCATACTAAATTAAGATCCTAGCTCAAGTTTCACAATGGTTTTAATCTTCTCATCTCTCTTTCAGACAGAAAGCAAATAAGCATAGTTTAGTTTTTCATTCATCTGCCAGTGACCACATACCAAAAACGTTAACCTCACGTACATATTTCCCCAAATTCCTAACTATTCCTTTGATAGATTTATGGAGGACATCTTACGCAGCTTGGGCAGGGCTGACTTCTTCTCCCTCTTCAATTTCAAATGTAATATTGAGATTTTTTAAATCATCGGGCTCAAGTGTCTTCTCAGGCTTTTTCACTGGATTATTACAGTTAATACAGACATTGCCTGTTGCTGTTAGGTTGACGATGTACTTGTCATTGTTTTTTGAACCTGAGAAGAAAGAACATCAAAAGGTTTACCCCAAGAAATTTCACTCCTTAATTTAATTAATTAGGGAAACTTCCGTTCACTAAAATATATAATCTGTAAGGTAAAATATAGTATGTAACAGTCAGTGTCCATGGCATGCTGTGCAATATATTATATATCATTGCCATAAGCAAAAAAGCCAGAAATAATAGTGAGATAGAAGTTTGCAAGCAACATTTACACATTCACTTTTTACTTACCGAAAGAGAAGTCACTGCAGGCCTCTGCATAAGTAGATTCATTACATATGGTGTTTGTATGAAAACATCTAACCTGGCAATGATCTAATAATGGAAACAGAATTTAGTACCCATCCAAGAAGACATGTAAGGAGTAGAAATATGTACGTAGGACAAAGCTACACAGGCATACCCCTTCAGAAAGTGAGCAATTAAAATGATAGTAACAATGTCTTTGATATTAATAATTTGAGTTTATTAAATTGGTGGGTAGCTGATTCTGTGAGTAGTAGTAAAAGAGTGAATGACAGACTTTTCTTTGTTGTTCTAAAACCTTTAACAATGATATTTAATAACTTCATTAAAAAAAGACTTTTGGCAGAAATGGAATAGAATATACATAAATATGTTTTCATTCATGTGTACTTTCTCTGAAACTCACAAAAAAGGAAGTGAAAGGCCCGTTCTACAGCCAGTGTTTGGTTAGTCTGTTCTTGGCTACTGTAGAAACATGGTGTTTCAACATGGTGCCTCCATAGAAGGCAAACTGCAGCGTCTTAAGATAAAAATTCTCATTCTAAGGTAACAAAAACACAACAATTCTTATTTTCAGCTGATTATGCACTAATAAAAACATACCTATGAATATTATATTCTATTTCTGACAATAGATCCTCCTCAGTGTCACACACTGGACCTCTAAGTGCCTTAATTTG